CTGCCTCCAGAAGTTGTGAATGCTCCAACACTGGAAGTGTTTAAGAAGAGACTGGACAGCCATTTGTCCGAAATGGTATAGGGTTACCTGCCTGGGCAGGGGGTTGGACTAGAAGACCTCCAAGGTTCTGTTCTGTTCTGTTCTGTTCTGTTCTGTTCTGCTCTACTCTACTCTACTCTACTCTACTCTACTCTACTCTACTCTACTCTACTCTACTCTACTCTACTCTACTCTCGTCAAGAAAGCAACCAAGCTCAGAGAGCACCAAGGACTCTTCATTTCAACCCTGAGCTACAATTATTCTCCTTTATTGGTATCCACATTACCATTCATGTATGAAACATCAATTAGCATATCAAGAAACAGCTGGAGCTAGCTTTACATCTGAATCTTACAAGTGTTTCCAATAACTCAGTAAGGACTGATCATTGGTGTCTTGGGATATATCCAGATACCTTGGATGCCCCCAAGCAAGAACTAGCATAATAACTAATATTTTTTTTGGCATTTTATAGATTAAAAGGGAAATATGGAGTAGGCTGATTGCATTGAGTGACTTGTCCCCAGCAGTCTGACCACGAGGTGGCACTAGAAGATTGCCTTAAGTCTACGTGAAGGACAAACTCATAACTTCCCCACTCCTAAGAAGTCTATACAGCACATACATTATTTTATATCTCCTAGTGTTTCTTTCAGAAGAATGTATCAATTAATACACACAGAGAGACTTGACGTCATTTCAAACTGAATATTTTTGAATTAATCTACAGCAAGCAACAGAATTGTTATATGCCAGAGATGGCGAACCTTTTAGAGACCGAGTGCCCAAACTGCACCCCAAAACCCACTTATGCATCGTTGGGTGCCGGGTGGGTGTGGCCCATAGGGTGGGTGTGGCCCATTGGGTGGGCGTGGCTGCAGTGCTAATGGCAGACTGGGTGGGACTAAGAAGTTCAATCAATTCCAACTTTGCAAGATCTTATTTTTTCCTGCGAGAAGTTGAAATTGATTGATTGATTGAACCTTTTTTTTTTTTTTTGCACACGGCGGCGGAGGCCTAAAGCGAAAAGGTTTTATAAAACCCAGCTGAAGGCCTAGGACTGGGGTGAGGGCGTGCGTGCCCACAGAGAGGGCTCTGAGTGCCGCCTCTGGCACCCGTGCCACAGGTTCACCACTACTGTTATATGCTGTTTCCTTACACACACATGCACACACACAATGCTTACAATATTAAATCCTCTCTGTTATAAGATCTACTGTTCAGGTATTTACATTTTCCTGAAAGAACGCAAGCAAATTATCTCCACTCCAGGTACTGTCCCCAAAATCAAAAGTATGAAAGGTTAATGTCTTCCTTCTAACAAGACAGTAAAAACATCACATAGGTTGATCCATTTTTGGCTTAATGGGTGTGAAATGAATGATATGCAGGAAGGCAACTGTCCTCATTAAATTCCACCCTTGACATCTTTGTGGCCTCCTAGAGCAGAAGATAGATAGATTCAGCTCCTGGACCAGAACCAGTTTCCTATCCTTATTGCGTTAACTTAGTCTCCATGGAAAATGTCCACTTGAGTAACAGTATTAAACTTAGCATTTCCCACACGTTCTCCAATGTACAACCTGAAATGTAAGACTTCACTAAGATATTCAGAGAATTTAAGAACCAGATGTAAGAGAAAAGTAGGCAAGGGGTGGAGTTAAACAAGATTAATGTCAGGTGCAAAGGGTCAGGACCATAGGTTAAATTGCACCCCATAAGATTTATTCAAGCCCATAAACAAGAATCTAGTCAACTAATGGTCAGCACTAAACTGCCCTGAGATAAAGGTCAATAGATTCAAGGAAGATTAGACTTGGATCATTTGTGGTAATGCAAGGACTCTAAGCTGATGACATGTTTGACTCCGCCCTCCAGTTCTGCCTGCTCTTTTCCTACACCAGAAGAGGACATGCAAATCCTCTCTGGATATCACTGACTTAGGCCCAGCTCTAGCAAGAATACCACGTCTTTCCCCACCGCTTGAACCTAAGGGGAAGGATGTCAACAAGAAGCTTTCTGCATAGGCAAAGAGCTTCTATATGCAAGCCAATCTAGCTTTTGGATGCGAAAGATTTCCAGGAGAAGAAGGTTAGTTCTTCCCAGTTCAACCTAGTTTGTGGCTTTAAGTGGTACAGTTAGTCCTCAACCTATGACACAATTAGGGTCAGAATTGCTAAGCAAGGCTATTGTTAAGTGAGATGTGCCCAATTTTATGACCTTTTTTTGCTAGAGTTCTTAAGCAAATCACTGTAGTAGTTGTTAAGTGATCCATGCCAGCTGGCCTTCCCCCATTGCCTAGGGCAACTGGCACTTTTATGACTAAATCAATTCTATTTTGGAGCAACTACATAAAAAAAGGAGAAAATGAAAACCTTACCTCTTGCTCTTGTTGAAATATGACAACTCTACCGCCTTTGTCTCCCGTCGCTAGCAATTCTCCAGAATGATTAAATTCTACCGTAGATATTATGTCAGCTGTACAATAAAGAGCAAAAAGACACAGGTTAGTATTCTTAACAAACATTCAAACTAGGTACTTGTATTGTGGACTTGGAAGAAGCGGGATAGGAAGACTATTGATGCTTCTGAACTATGGTGATGAAGAAGATTCCTAAGAATGCTGGGACAGACCGGTAAACAAACCAATGGGATCACTGAACAAATCAACCTAGAGATCTCACTCGAGGTACGAATCACCAGGATCAGAGAATCCTACATTGGACACATCATGCAAAGATCCAGGGCTTTTTTTCAGCCGGAACGCGGCGGAACCGCGTTCCGGCACCTTTTTCCGGGCTGGCCGCACCGGAAATAGCCCCTCCCACACCGGAAATAGCCCCTCCCAAATTTTACTTGCATTCCTGTTCTCTAAAGGGGCGGTCCTAGGGTTTGATGAGGGCGTGGCCAGGTTTGAGTTCCGCCACCTTTTCTCCGAGA